CATGTTTGTGTTATCAAAGTTGCACTTCAGGCAACATTCTTTATTTTACTGAGATTAAAGGCTTAAATATATGTTTTCCCTTTGTTTTGTCTTTTAAGACCCCCCAACGGATACCGGGGAAAATCACACTATTGATGTGCCTGAAGGAGATTCAGCATCAATTTATTGCCCAGTACTTGGAAATCCTCATGCCAATATCACCTGGTACAAGGGAAATGACACATCGTTAGGCACTGTGATAAGTACCACCAACCCTCTGGAGTTTCTTGAGACTGTGTTGAATGACAGTGGATGGTATACTTGCCTTGCTGAAAACTATTTAGGAAGTGTTACTCTCACGGTTCAGCTACGTGTTGGTAAGTTGTATGGTTTTGTTTGGTAATAAGTTATTTTGCAAGCCTTCAGACACTATAGCTAATATTATGAGATAAGGCAGTCCTGGCACTTATTCTTTGATTATTAAATTAAAGGAGGTCCATACCTGAAAAATTTTGTAACAAACATAATAATTCCCTTCATGTTTTGCCCTGCTAACTAGTTCATCATTTATAATGTAATTATATAACAATTTTTGTTTTGAATCGAAATGTTNCACTGTGATAAGTACCACCAACCCTCTGGAGTTTCTTGAGACTGTGTTCAATGATAGTGGATGGTATACTTGCTTTGCTGAAAACTATTTAGGAAGTGTTACTCTCACAGTTCAGCTACATGTTGGTAAGTTGTATGGTTTTGTTTGGTAATAAGTTTTTTTGCAAGCCTTCAGACACTATAGCTAATATTATGAGATAAGGCAGTCCCGGCACTTATTCTTTGATTATTAAATTAAAGGAGGTCCATGCCTGAAAAATTTTGTAACAAACATAATAATTTCCTTCATGCTTTGCCCTGCTAACTAGTTCATCATTTATAATGTAATTATATAACAATTTTTGTTTTGAATCGAAATGTTCATTTGGCATGCTTGAATTGGTCGGTCGGCACAGGGGATCTAACTTAAAACAGAAGGAAACCATTAAGCCCTTTTTTTTACCTCAGATATAATAGGGATAATGGTGTGAGCCGTCATCTCTGAACAAAAACAATCACCAGGGTTGTACTCTCTTGTGCAACGTTTCCTTGAAAATTAATTTTCAGAAAGAATCAAAGGAGACCCATGGCCAAACTCGTGGATTAAGTAATCTAGAGATAAACCGTGTCGGTGAACTTGCAATTATTGGTCTATTATTAAAGGCTGTTGAAACAAGTCAGGTTCGCACCACGCAAGGTCACTCTTATCTCACAAAGCGTAGTCTTTTGTTACACACATATCACAAAGACATACAACCAGAATAGCTAGGGTGGCAAAATTGCAGCTGAACATGGAGTGGTAAAGGGTGAGGGTTCTTGGGTCAGAGTGGGCACTCCTGCCCCCAAAAAAACATATAGTATTTCTNACTGGACATCTCCAGATAATGATATACCTTGGATGTCAAATCTGACAAATGTAACATTTACAGCAGAATTTGGTAGTTCTGGGTTGTATCTGTGCACCGTTAAAAACGTGTTAGGGGAGGTAATCACAGCAAAACTAGTACAAAGTACACCCACCTCATCAAAACCAACCACTAAAGGTAAGGGGATTTGTTTTGGCACTAATATATTGTGGTGGCATAAATTGATGGTTACAGGGATTGATACAGCAGCATGCTATACGTTGTGAGTTCCTGAAATCCTCATTTTCAAGATGAGGCTTATTAGCCAGTCTTTGTTATTGAAGTCTCATTTTGGTAGCAAAGGTTACACAGGCAGCCTCACTTTGAAAGTGAGGATTTTAGGAACTAATTAAACTCAGCATCATCTCCCATAGTGGCCTGATAGATTCAGTCATGATTTTGTTTACGTAACCAAGTGGAATTGAGTTCTGAAGTGTGTAGGTTGATTGGATAAATTAATGAAATAAATTAATCCCTGCCCTGTTAAGTTTTATGGTACCTCTAGCCTGAAAAAATGTGCACCCTTTAGTTTAGTCAACTGTAGAGAGTTGCACCCCAGCTTGATGCAATACAATAATAAGGGTACTACATATTGTCGTGAACGCAAGTAAAATAGCAATAATTTTCTTTCTTGGAAACACAAATCACGATATTTTGTTCAATATATCATGGTAATTGTTTGTGCTAATCTCACTAGCAATGCAGTGATATTCAAAAGGACTGCAGATATATCTCTTCTAAAAGATTTTTGCAATGATTGCAAAACATACTTATGTTGACAAGTACCACGTATTCTCCTATTTATAATTATTTCGAGTTTTGATCTCGCTTTGTTTAAATCTCTCATTTTTAGAAGCCAAAACTCTACATCACCAGCCACCATGCATGTTTGGCATGGCTTATGTTTGTCATGATTGGAAAGTATATCTCTCTTGCAAAAAGTAGATCTTCACAGTCTCTTGGACTTAATTTCTCCATCCATCGCTAAAATATTTCAGAGTAGCTTATATTTACTCAATTGTACAGGTAGGTTGACTTGGATACCATCTGTGAAGAAATTGTCACTCTGGTCGAACTGCATGGAATACAAAAGAAATGAAGTGTAAACGACAACAAAATCAAAAGATAAGGCAATGCGAATTTCGTGCTTAAAGTATTTTAAAATACAAATCAAATCACGGGTTTCGACGCAGAATTCGATGCAGCCAGAATTTTAATGTGTATGTTCAAAATAAAACACAGAAACAATGAGGCCAAAATGTGGCAAACCATCAAATTCTCTAGCCAAGAAAAAAAGCTGCGAGCTTAATTTCCACATCTGCTAAACACGATCGTCTTCCCAGGCCTCTTGTATGAATTCTTTGACCTCGCCAACCTTGTTGTTGTAATGGATACATGACCACAGTCATAAATACCTCTCCCAGCTTTCATCTACGAGTGAGCAAAAGCCGATAGGCAAAAGACAACATATTTACAAAAGCAAAAACGGCCGACTTCAAACCTTAAGGTGTTCGACAAACCCGTACCCAGGCTCTCCAGTAAACCATGGGACAAGCACTCTGCTCACCATGGCAAATCGTGGAATAAATGATTTGGATCATGACATTGCGTGGTTTACACTTCGTGTAAGCAACACAAAAATTGTTCGTATACAGTCAAATTTCAGCTTTGTGTTGAGAAGTCCTTGAATCGGCCAAAGTCCCTTCAAAGTCTTTGAATTTTTAGACAAGTGTTAAGAAGTTCTCGAAATTGAGTGTTGCATTTTTTATTCAATCCAGTGCTCTAAGAAAGGCGCCCTGGGATAAAAATCGTGAACTGAAAATACATTTAAGAAAGACTAACTGCAAAGCTAGATTCCGTGAAAGACTGTTAAGGTAAACAGTGATTGTTAGATCATGCATTTAGATAGTACACTAAATTCTGCTATGGGCCTTCAAAAATCTTTAGGGAGACATCACAGATGTCTCCAAGATTCTGAGCAGCAAGTTTTCCTGCTTGGAAACTTATTTTGTGTCCTTGAAAAGACCTTGAATTTGTTTGACCAAAACTGTTCGAGCCATGACTTAAGGTAGGCTCTGTGCATGCTGTTTCGAGCAAACTAGAGATGCAAATTTTTTCAATCTGCTTTGTTCAGCAAGGTTCTGCTTCAGGCCCATATCACTTGATTACCTTTGTTTGTTAGAGAAGCTAGGAACTCTACTAAGCTGCTCACTCCCCCTCCTAATGGTGACTTCATATGATGCTTACACTGTTCTTTTAAGTAGGCAACTATAAGGATATGCTGCATATTTTTTTTGGATTTATTATTATTATTATTATTATC